AGGGAGACGCCTGTATTCAGTATTCGCGGCCTATCCTTAACGTGGGCCCATTATGACCTTTCAACCGTGATTATCACGTTTTCTCCCCTTTTACAGATGCTGTGCGGATGAAGTAAGAATTTCCAGTCAAAAACAAACATCCAGTGACAGACTGAAAACATTATGCACTTCACATACCTGAGATGGGGAGGGCGTGACTACGTACCGAGCGTGGGATGCGTTTTTGTGGGATATTCCATTCGAAACAACTGTCACCCTGTTTTGTGGTGTATGGAGACATGATCGCAGTCATCTGTATCGAAAATATCCCAAAGTTAGCGCAGCCCCCCCCCCCACTTTCATACGAGTCACGCCGTTCCCATTTCCGGGATATGGATTGTGTCACACGGTAGTAACTGTGTGTTGCTGAAGTTGAACTACGTTGCTGATCAGTTATGTTCGATTTTTAGACATTGGCGATGGTATGGCGTTACATCTTGTAGTTCGACAAGGTCAAAACCGCGTGAGTGGTCTTTTTTAAACACTACTTTTATCTGAAACCAAATCTGTCCCTTTGTTAAAAAGGACTGCGAGCACTGCATATACCAATAAGATGGAGATTTTAGTCCCTAGTGAAAAGCGCTTCACTAGAAAGCGCGACGAAAGTTGAGGAAACGCGCTTAACCTGGTTTTGGATAGGATACATTTCGCGGAAAGAGAGATTCGCGGCTAAATAGTTGGTGGAAGGGGGAGAGGGGAGGGGGGGGGGGGAAGGGGAAGGGGTGGCAATCACCAGCGCCTTCTTATCCCTTCATCCAATCGAGGCTCAACTTTGGTGACAATTTAGTCTTCTGTGCGGTACAGACCTTGCGGCCACTGTGGTCGTCTGCGCTTTAAGCCAATGCTCTTGGAGAAGGGATACGGAGGCGCAACCAAGTGTTCCCTTCCTTCCCCCCTCCCCCCAACTACGTTAGCGCCACTGATTCATCAAATTGAACTACCTTTCTTCATTCGTTAGGCTTGGACATTAATCTCCTCACCGTGGTCCGATCCTATTTTGTTCCTCTCGTTGCAGCACTGAATTCTGTTCAACATAAAATTAAGAATTTGGAGAAAATAGGGTAGAAGTTTGTTTCGTGGCGTCAAGGGACTCGAATTTGGAGAAAATGGGGTAGAAATTTGTTTCGTGGTGTCAAGGGTGCAAAATTGGTGCTACAAAATCCGCAGTACCCAAGGAGCCTGGTAGAATTGCCTGAACACGGCCTTTCAAAATGTACAGTTTTCTGTTCTCGCTCTGCGCTCTCTTCCTAGGTAGGGTCGTGCAAGCGCTTAACATCATGTCGTCTAGCTTTTCGCACGCGATAAATGAGCCATCTCCCGCGAAACCCCCTACCCTAAAAAATCCCATTTCCGGAACCATCATATGTTATTCGCACCTTTCATTGCTTTCGCGGCAGCTATATTTCGTCCGCCTGCGCTCTGTTTACACGTTAGGATCAGGGCAAAGATTTTAGCATTCATGTAATCCAATTATTGTAAAAAAAGCCCATTTTAGTGGAAATGCAGCGGCTAGCATATCAGCAAATGTGGAATTGTGCGTATAAGCAGTGTCTGCTTTGGGAGAGTGGGAGGGGGAGGGGGCGCTTTGCTAGTTCTTATCGGCGTGGAGACCTGTACAGTCGTGTAAAGCTGCTTAGCGAATTTTGTTCAAGTAAACAGCCTAAACTTGTAGAGACCGAACTATAGCAGAAAATGCCCCCTCCCTACGCCCCCTCTCTCCAAGGCGAGCAGCGCCTGCTTATGTTCCTAGTTTACGAAAGGCCATTGAAAATTGCTTCAATACTCTGAAATATTTATATAGCAAATGGTCCATATGATAATGGGGTACAAATGATGATATAACATGCACATGTACCCCATCATTATCAGTGATACAGATGATAATGATGGGGTTCAAAAAAGTCGTTGTGGAATGATTTCAGGCAGGACAAGCGAGCGCTGCTTCGAATCAGTCCACTACGAATCCTTCATCGAATACTACACAGGTAAAGAAGAACATACCATTTTCAACATCTTTTTGGCAAATACATAAGTCACTTGTTCGAGTTTGTGTATGGTAACAGTCCCCTTATCACTTTGAACACTTTCCTTAAAACTGCGTCAATTCCTTGTTTGCGTCAGGCCGCGACTTCTGTATTTTGCAGGTTCGAATGCTCGGGAAACGACATTGGTTCCGTATTCGGGAAATTACAAATTTCGCTGACGGGGCTCTTTCGCTTGGTTTACAAGTCTCACTCAGGTTTAACCTGTGAGCCCTTGTGAAGCAGGAGTAAGCTCGTCGAGCCAACATGGTAAAACCTGTCACTTCCTGTAAGCTCACGAAACGGCTTGGGTCGACACGTCGATGGGAAGTAGCTAAAGTGCCCCCCCCTCCCGTCTCCGAACTGCCCCAAAACCCCCTCTATTGAATGCATCCATTAACAGTAAGAGGTGCAAGAGAGGAGATCGTGAGATAGTGTGCGCTCTACACGGTACACTACTAGCCAGAAGGGAAATAATCGTGAAAGGCAGATGGGCGTCACAGCATTTGAAAGGGGCCATGTGGCGCCGCACTCAACCCGGTCCTCCGCGTTATCTTACCGAGAGATTGACCCATTCCTCCGCTCAGGTTCGGTCTCAGAAGGGCGGAGAGGCCAGGACAAGCGTGGCCTTGTTTAACCACAAATGTCTCGAAAAAGCATCCATCTACTAACAAGCTAATTAACTACCAAAGCCTGTTTCGAAACATTTCATGACAGAATTTGGGGGCCTATTTTATCTTTCTTGGACGACCTGGCAAATGCTCCAGTTTTGAATATGGCTTATTTAGGCTTCCGGTGCTTCGCCAATGGCCAATCCTTTGTTTGGCGGAGATCTTTCTGCAGGAGGTCCTCAGGTAAGTTTTTGTTGTCGATGGTATGCAGTTCAGTAGAAAAAGGGTTTCCTTGTGCTATCTAAGCTAGCCAGTATTTGTAGGCCATGGCTCAACAAATGATGAATAACCCGGAGATGATGCGTCAAATGATGGATAATCCTATTATGCAGAACATTATGGGAAATCCTGAAATATTTCGTTCACTGCTTGCTAATAACCCTCAAATTCAGCAACTTATCGAGGTTGGCCAAGCAACACGCGTTTTTCTGGGCCCTTTTGGCAACCAGCGTTTTTGAAGGTGTCTTTAGATACGCTTAGATAAGTTTTTTTGTTAAGCGTAATCCTGAGCTTGGACACGTCCTAAACGATCCGGATATGATGCGACAAACGATGGAAATGATTCGTAATCCCAACATGTTCCAAGAAATGATGCGCAATCATGACCTCGCGATTCGCAACCTTCAGGTTGGCTCTATTTTTTCTTACCTCTCATTCCGTATTCCTGTATCGAAGTTTTGATCCGTGCGAGAATAGACCAGAGTGTAGGACCCTCCTCTCTAATTTTAGGCGCTGAGTGACACGGTCTAACGCCTCAAGAATGCTAGGTTATGGGCAAAAGTCTGGCCGTAGGTGGGTCTCGAACCCTCCCGAATTCCGGTCAAAACGTGCTTTCCGGGAAACGTTCGGAACATTACAGGACTCTTGAAGCAAGAGAGGACCAGTTGACAGATGGTTTGTAACCCCAAGGCCACGGCACATCTATGGTTGAAGATTTGGTCGAGGCCGTACAATCCCTCCCCAAGGGTGGCTTGATCCGACCCCACCGTTTCCTCCTCTGATACGATCGAGATGTCGAGCAGGTGCACAGCGCATTGAAAGGAGAAAAACTGCGAGGAAAATGCAACTCGCCCTCTCCATTCTCCCTACAACTTCCTTGGATTTTCCCTACTTCCTACTAGTTTTTCTTGGATTTCCCGAGGATTTTCCTACTTCATCCCCAAAATTTTACTGCCGATCGGAGGAGGGGAGGGGGGGGGGGTGCAATGCAAGGAGGTAAGATCCATCTTGTGAATTTTTCTCAGGAGAAAAATGCAACCCTCAACAACAAGCGAGTATGACCCGTTATAGCATCCGTGAAACAGGACAGGAGCAGTCGACTACAAAAAAAGAATGTTCTCACGTCAGACTAAATAGGACCACCCCATGTTGGGGAATGCCCAACGATGATGGGCTCCTGTATTTCCTTGTTAGTTAACACTGCACCGTATTTTCCGCGCTCCTTTCCCGCTCTCACTGCACCTCGCATATGCTGTGTTGCAACCCTAGTTCTTCGCTAAGAGAAACGGATTTTTGTCAGATTATTTAGATAAAGAAGTTATAATCAAATTTGGTTCTGTGCTTCGTGGTTTCCCTGTCTTCCCCTACATCTCACTTTCCTAATGTTCAGGGTATTCCTGGAGGTGAGGCTGCTCTTCAGCGTTTGTATCAAGATGTACAGGAACCACTCCTCAATAGCGCCACAAGTTCTCTAGCTGGTAATCCTTTTGCGTCGTTGCGTCGAGGAGACGACACAACTGGTGAGTATGAATTGGATCTTGCTTTTGACCTAGCCTGTTTAAGTTTTTTTTTATCGTGTACAAATTTTTAGCCTCTCGAAGTCAACGAGCTGGTCAGGAAAACAGCGAAGCCCTGCCAAACCCATGGGGTGGTGGTTCTACAACAAATTCTCAGCAGAACGCACAAAGTAACACACTGAGCAACGCGCTTCCGAAGGATTAGCATGTGTGAGTTTTCTAGCCTCTGCTGAGTAGGTGTTAGCAGATCCAAGAAAGTTTATCACTAATTCCACTGCAGTGACGTTAGATAGAGTTAAATAGGTGCAGTCGAGTCGGTGCCCGCCTTGTTTTTCGCGCTGTCTTTAGACCTTTTCTTTCAGCGCTTCTCGGGTCAAGTGGTATGAACTCTTTAATGGAGCAGATGATGTCTGATCCAGCGCTTATGCAATCTCTGATGAGGCCAGAGATGATGGACTTGTTTAGACAAAGTATTTCACAGAATCCTCAAGTAATTCAGCAGGTAAATAGAACATCAGTTACCATATCATACCGTGTTAATTGAATTATCCGTAATATTTATTTAATATAGCTTAAAATACATCGCAGTGAAAAATATTCACAAAAGCGGTTTACGGGTGTCATGCGAAAAGCGTCGGCGCCAACGTACACCTCGAATCATCAGAAAGAGTAGCTGAAGTTTGCCTCCTGGCGTGGTTTCACCTCGTGAACAACGAGTATCACATCCGCCTTGGTGCGAACGATGGTGCACGCCGGGCTTTTGCGCGAAACATCCATATCAATCAATTAGGCTGGCAACTTGTTTCAGAAACAGTTCAACCTTCGGAACACAAATGTGTATCTGCATGGCGAATCACGGCCGGGTAAGGGAGATGGGGACATGCGACGGCCTGCTTGTCCCTTTTCCTCCGTGATAGTGATACTTTCCTCTGCTAAGGCTCTAGTTTAAGAGCGAGAGTGGGGATCACTACCAGAAGTGACCAGAAAGGGCACGAACTTATCTCGCCTTGACCATCCAACTAGTAATACCATGTTTGACAGGACATCGCCAGGCGTTCGCGCTCCTGGAGCAGACTCCATAAAACACTGAAGCAGTGGGACCCGAATAAGTTTTAATCATATCTATCTACTGCTGAAAACTCCAGTGGAATTCTGACTCAATTTTCGAGGAGTGGGGCAGATAAGGGTGAACATTCTCGCCTCCTTTTGCCAAGTTTCTGCATGGAAATTATTCCTCGTTGGGTGCTTAGACAGGAGTGAAAGTCCTGTTTGTTAGATGAGCAAATGACCGTGAAAGTTCTTACGGTTGAGTTGATTCCGCTCCAGATGGAAAGGGCAAGGACTAGTTACGCAAGTTTGAGTATAAGTTCACAAACTCAACGGTACCTTTTTCTTTCTCGAAATTTCTTGAGCCCAAAGTTTCTGTTGACTAATCTTATCTTACGGGACTTCGATCTTCTCATATACACTTGCCGGTCAAAAGCAACTTTCAGATCATGGAGCAGAACCCATTGGTTGCGAATAATCCCCAACTAGCGGAACAACTTCGTGCTCAACTCCCGAACATGATGAATATGGTAGGTTTTGTACACATCAAACAGCCGTTTTCCGTGTTTCGTGCAACGATTCTTTCTTGGTTTCCTTGGTTGTACTTTCTCTTACTGATGAGTACAGAAGGAGGGTATTACACACTGTTTAGATGTACTGCTGTTTCTTCTTGAACTGCTCTCGAGATTGGGGAAAGGAGCCTGAAATTTATTTATGAACTATCCGACCAAATTTCACACCACCTCTCAGAGACCTTTGACCCATCCTAACACTGTCACACCATCTGCGTGGTGGTGTGACATTGTGGTGGATAGTCCATAATCGATTTCCATTCTTTTAGGCTCAAAAAAGGTGAACCCATCGAGACGTTAGCCACCTAATAAAGGTCCTTTCCGACCTGTAGCTCAAGAAGAAACAGCCGTACATCAGAACAATGCCGAGGTTCATGGAGAGTCAAACTTGGCGTCTGTAAAATGTTTAGTTCCCGCAGGGCCGTGCAAAAGAGAAAGCAAGCGACCCGTCTGAATCACTCCACTATGGAACTTTAATGAAAAAAAAATTGTAAAAAGATTATAGGCATCGAAATAGTATATAAAAACATCACAATTGAATTATTGAAATAAATGAAATAACAAAAAAAAATAAAATGGTTCGACTTCTGGTTTCAAATATGTACATGCTCGATTCTTTGTGGTTGTTCGAGCTATAACTTAGTTGGCGTTTGCAGATGTCCAATCCCGACGTTTTGGCAGCCATGTCAAATCCTCGTGTGTTAGAGGCGCTTCGTATGGTCCAACAAGGCATGGATATTCTTCGACGAGAGGCACCTGCTTTGGCAGGGTATGACATATTCATTCGACTATTTAGCGCTTTTTGGCTCGGAGGCGGCACCGAAAGTCACTCAGCTAACGTTCAGGCTATCTTGTGAAGACCTGTAAATTCCTGTCGCTAAAATGACTAGATTTTCCATTTTGGAGCCTTGCAAGAGATCACAGGTCTCGCGAAAATGACCCGTTGTTAAGCATGAAGTAAGAGAAGGAACTGGCGAATTGCAAAATGCCTCCTCCTAGCCGAACAGCTCCGGCTGTTTTATTATAAGTGATCAGTATTTCACTCATGATTTGTTTCAGGATGTTTGGGAGCGGTTTCTCGAATGTACCAGGTGCGAATGCTCAACGAAATGCGTCGTCGACCAATGGTGAAGATTCAGTGAACGCGTTGAACGCCATGTTTGCTGGAATGAATACCACAACGGTACTTTGCTCTGTTGTAAAACGGTTTTTCTCAGCTATCCAACAATCTAACGGAACTACCATGAAAGGGAATGGTGGGGAAGTGTTGAGGTGTATTCAGAAATCGATTATATTGCCATCATTTTGAGTATCTTGATGGGCCCTTTACATTTTTCCATGATCCGTGGGCAAAAGGAGTGCGACTGGCACTGGGAGATCTAGGCGGCGATGCGTCGAGAGCGGCATTGTATGGTGCAGTGCTCGCGGCATCCCTTGCCGGCATTATAATGATTTTACGTGAGAATGCTGATCTATG